TAGTATCCTATATTAACATGTATCTGTATATATATGTATATATGATTTCCTTTGTAATCCTATGTAATTTATCACATGCATTTAAAAATCTTGTTCTAAGAAGAGATCCCTAGGCTTCACCAGACATGATACCCTTCCTCTAGAGGAAGAAGCAGAGTGCTGGACTTATGACTCGAGAGACTAAGAAAACCTTTGGAGTCCCAGCTCTGACACATTCTATCTGTGTAACCATGTGCGAATGAATCACTTAACTCACTCCCTTGAGCCTCAGTTTCCACATCTATAAAATGAGGATAATGTACTTTCACTGCCATCACCAGTTATTGTAAATAAAGTGCTTTATAAACCTTAAAGTACCATATAGAAATGTGAGCTATTACTTTTTCCAGCCTTGGCCACAGTCACTTTAGTAATCTCCCTCAGAACAAATAGGGACAATTGGAGTCTCTTCTAAATGTAAATTTTATCAAAGCCTCAGGCACCAGCAAAAAATCTCTACCAAAAGTGCCCCACCCCCAAATACACACAAAATAAAATAAACACCCCCCACAACAAAACACGTTAAAAATGCAAATCAAAGTTTATTAGGAATACTTAACATTATGCCACCACCTTCTGCTAGGGACTGGCAGGCTAATTCTTGACCTGGATATGTATCTTACCTTTATTGAACCACCTTAAAAGCTCCCAGAGGTACATAACATGAGAAAGTATTCATTTTCCATTCCTGAATATCACAGAGAGGGCTTTTCTACAAGTGAAGAAAGATAGTTTGATACCACCTTTCCCCCCACAACCACAGACCCACATCCCCTGACCACATCACACAACTACAACAGAACCTCTGCAGTTCTTCACATTTTCATCTGAGGAATACCACCAGCATCACCAGCCATTTTATCAAGTGCCTACTACGTACTGCCAGCCATTTCTATGTTTGCCTATAAGGCCCCAAACTCAAAACCATCGAGACCTCAACAAAAAACATTTTCTGGTAGATTTCGCCCAGTAGGACGTCAGTTCTGTGGGGGCAGGTTTTCCATGCAGTATTCCGCATACACCCTCTAACATCACTTCCAGACCTAAATCTATGACACCAAGACATAGCAACCACCTAATAAATGTTTGTTTTGTGGATTCTGACAACACCACTGGGAGCCAATGGTGTGTGTATGAATCCCTCTTTTCTGCAGAATGACAGCCCCGGTTCACAGCGTTTCTCCACAAAGCTAGTACTAGAATCCAGGTCACTTTATTTCCAGAGACTGCTTTTTCAGTTAGGTCAAAATACTGGGGAAAAGTTAACTTCTAAGAACTAAAGAAAGCTAGGTCAAATGCACAAAGAGTCCACAAAAAAATAATAAAGCTTAAGGGTAGCAGAAAAAACCCTGGAGTCAAGGGAAGTAGGTTGAAATCTGTGTGACCATTGGCAAGTCAATTCAAGTCCACAGTCCTCAGTTTCCTCATCTGTAAAACAATAATGCTGAACTAGATAATCTCTTGGATCAAATGAGATAATGTTTGTAAAAGCAATTAGCACCGTACCTTGCTGTTCAAGTCATTCAGCCGCGCCAGACTCTTCATTATCCCATGGACCTTACATACCACACCAGGCTCTCCTGCCCTCCACTATCTCCCAAAGTCTGTCTTAAGCGCACGTTCATTGCATCCACGACACTATCCCATCCATCTCCTCCTCTGCTGTCCTGGTTTTCCTTTTGCCTTCAATCTTTCCCAGCATCAGGGTCTCTTTCAAAGAGTCCTGTCTTCTCATTGCATGGCCAAAGTATTTAAGCTTGGCACATAGTAGGTGATTAACAAATGTTTACTTCTCCTTCCTTCCAAGGTCCCTGACAGCTCTAACATCCATAATTCTAGGAAAACTGGTCATTCATTTATTTCACAAATATTTGTTAAGTGCCTACTATGTGCAATATATTAGTCACTAGAGGGGGGAAATAATAAGAACATGTTCCCTACCTTCAAAGAGCTTAGCAGTGGTGATTGGACATATATACAAATATACTATAAATGAGAAAAGTGAAAAATATTGGAGAAATTGAAACAATCCAGAAAACTTAAGATTTTTGCTGGTTTACCCATGCTCCCAACTTCCCACCAACCCCTCCCTCAGTTTGCTCAAATAGATTTTCTTACAATGTTTAGGGAAATAGTTTAATTTTAGAAACTTGGAAAATTCCACAAAGGAAAGTGATCAAAAACATATCTGCCCTGAGGGGAAATTCTAACCAAAATAATTATTTCTGACAGAAGAATTTTCTACTTGGTTACTCCACTTAGCCATTCAAAACACTCCACTCCCAAAAAGGGGTGATGGAAAGGTGTGTTTGCAAAGTGTGACAGCTCATATTCTCCCACAGAAAATGGTGCAAGTGAGAAGAGCACTGTATCTGTCAGAGGCAAAGTTCCAACCTCTGACATTAGCTGGGTGACCCTGGGTAAGTCACTTCCCCTCCCCCAGGACCTCAGTTTCCTATTCTGTAAAATGAGAGGGGCAACTAAGTGGCAGAATGGACAGAGCGCCTAGCCTGGAGTCAGGAAGACCTCAGTTCAAATGCAGCCTCTGAAACTAACCGTGTGACCCTAGGCAAGTCACTTAACCCTGTTAGCCTCAGTTTCCTCATCTGTAAAATGAGCTGGAGAAAGAAATGGTATAACAACTCCAGTATGGTTGCCAAGAAAACCCCAAATGGGGTCAGGAAGAGTCGGACACGACTGAAACAACTGAAAGAGAACAAAAAATGAAAGAGTGAGATTACATGATCTCAAATGTTCCTTGCAGATCTAAAATCCCTACTCCACAGTCCACCGTGGTCAGGTTGTGGAGACAGCTCATAGGAGGAACTGAATGTCCTCAGTTCTGATACCAAGACAGCTAATTAGAACTGAGCTGCAGTCAGTTGGTAAAAGTAAAGTACCTCAGACAGATACCGCCCCTCATAACATCCCCACGAGGCTGGGAGTATTATCCTCAATTGCCAGATAAGACACAGAAGTCCCTTCCCCCAAGGTCAGAGAGTGAGTCAGGGGGAGGTGGGACCAGCTTGGCAGGTCAGTATATCTAGTCTCTAGTCTAGGACGCTTCCTCTTTGGGGCTGTCTACCCTAAGAGTGTGAGAATCGGCTTGGGCATTGCTGAGACAATACGTAACGCTGCTCCTGGGGTATTGGGAAAGGGTCTGACGGGAGGAAGAAATGTTCAATGGCCAGCCGGTCCTCCTCGGTTTGCATACCCAAGCTATTAACCAGGACCGCAAGATACCAGAGCGACTGTTAAGAGGGGCCCATGACCTGGAATACTCACTCCCAAGGACTTGAGATTCCCTGAAGACGCCCCCCCTTCTCTGGAAAAGGACACTCACTCTCAAAACCACAGTTCATGGCTGTACTTCTGGAAGCCATGATTACCCTCTGGGTTTCTGTGGGGAGATCGGCACAGATCTCCTCTGGGAAGCCGAGGGAGGGAAGGAAGGAGGGAGGGAAGGAGGCAAGCAGGAGGCAGGCAGGCAGGCAGACAAGCCGCACACTCTGCGGAAAAGTTTAATGTGACTTGGGGCTGGGGGAGAGAGGGGGCGGTGCTCCCCCAACGCAGGCAAGGCCTCCTCCCCAGGCGCCCGGCTTGGTAATTAGCCCCTTCCCCGAGCTCTCCGCGCATTTCCTTTCAGATTCCATCATTAATTAGTTTTAAGGACTGTCTACTGGCAACTTAAACAAAGCAAATGCCTCAAATTCCTTCTCAGCCCATTGGTCTAAGCCGAAACCAGTATCGCCTGGGACAGCAGGCAGGGCAGACAGCTGCTGCTGCTGCTGCTTCTACAGCCGCAGAACAGAACTCAACTCAACTCCACTTCCACTCCACTCCCACTCCACTCCACTCCACTCCCTTCCTTTCCTTTCCCTCTGACCTCCCCTCACCCCCTCCCAGGGCGGGGAGTAGGGATTCTCTTCGGACCCGCCAGGCCTCCTTCCCACCCCCAATTCCTGTTCCTGTCCCTTCCCCATTCCCAAACTCTCCCCTCCCCTCCTCGATCTCCCGGGCTCTTCCTGTATGATCACTTCCTTCCTCTCAGGGTTCTCCCCTCCTCCCCGTACAGCCCCCTATACTCGATTGGGGACCCCATCACCACCGCGCCCTCAAATCCTTTAGAATTCATTTTCCCGCCCCAAACCTCTGGATTCCCTGCTTCCACTACCACCTTCCACTAATTCTCCTCTAATTTTTACTCGCTACACAGATTACACCTCACCACTGATTCTTCTCCTCCTTACCTCTGATTGCTCCCTCCTCACCTCTCCTCTGAATAGATTCTTCCTCTCCTAACTTCTCAGATTCCCCCCTCCCCACTTCTCTCCTTAGATTCTCCTCGTCTCTCCCTTCAGCAGATTCTCCTCCCTCCTTACTTCTCTGCTGAGATTTTCTCTCTCCATCTCAGATTGTCCCCTCCTCACCCCAGCTTCTCCCCTCCTCACTTCAGCTTCTCACCTCGGATTCTCCCCCTCCTGGCCTCAGATTCTCCCCCTCCCCCAGCTCTCCTCGGCTCTTCACCTTCTCCAGATTTCTCCTTGGAGTCTCCTCCCAAGTCAATCCTTTTTCTGGGATGCTCAACCCCACCACGCCGACCCCTTCCACCTCCGCAGCCTGTCACTCACACACTCACTCACACGCTCGCGCCCCCCGGACGCCCCCTCCCTCCCCACGGCTCCGGGGGGCTCTCGCCCCTCACTCCTCACCCGCCCGCCTCGCTCTCCGCCAGGACTGTCAGTCCCCAGCTCCGGCTCAGGTGGCCGCAGGCCGGCGGCCTCCGGCCGCCCCCGCGCGGGAGACTCGGCGCCCTCCGCGAGTGCCCCACGCGCCCGCGCGCCCGCCCGGACTCCTTCTTCCCGGGCTCCGTCTCCAGGTCCCGGACGCCCGCCCTCGCCGAGGGCCCCTGCCGAGCTCTGCCTCACGCTCCCGCGCCCTCCCCAGGGCCCCGTTCTCACCTGGGAGGCTGCGGCCCCGGCCCCGGCCCCGGCCCGGCCCGCCCGCGCTGCGGAGGCTCCCCGGGCTGGGCTCCTCCGGGCGGCCGGCAGCTCCAGCTCCACGGGACTGACAATGAGGGGCGGGCCGCAGCTGACGTCAGCGCCGGGCCGGGGGCGGGGCTGGGGGCCGGGGGCGGGCCCGAGGGGGAGAGGGGGGGCGGAGAAGAGGGAGGAGGAAGAAGAGGAGGAGGCCCCCTCCCACTGCCCCTCTCCTCCTTCCTTCCCTGCAGTCCTCCTTTTCCTCCCTCAGCACCCGCGTCCTTCCCCCTCCCACCTCCCCTCAATCCTCCCAACTCCATTGCTCCTCACCTCTCCTCCCGCCTCCCACCTCCCTTCCTCTCCTCCTCCCCACTCCCCTCTCTCCTCCTCGGCTTATCCCCCCCTCCCCCCAGGGCAAGTCTGGACTTAGGAATAGTCCATTGAAACAGTCACTCCCGGCACCCATAGGTAAGAGTCTGGGCTGCGCGGAGAGAAGAGGCGCGGAGGGAGAGAGGGAGGAAAGCACGGGAGACCTGGGATTGACTGCGGAATTCAGAGCTAAACGGGACACCTCCGAGAGCTTCTAGCCCAACCCCCTCATTCCGCCGAGTAGGAAATTGAAGATCCGAGAGGTATAGCGCTCATCTAGGGTCCCACAGCTACTAAACGTTGTAGGACCTTAGATTTACAGCTTTGAAAGAACCTCGGAGGCCATCTGGTCCCTCCATATTACAGATGTGGAAACTGAGGCACCAGAGGACTTGCCCAAGGTCACGCAGCTAATAAATGTCATAGGATCATAGGTTTATCCTGTATATATTAAGCTTTAATAGCCTAGTAGCTTTTCACTTTCGGATTTCTCACTGGCTTCTCCTCCCAATCAATCTCTTTTCTGGGACGCTTTAGTAGCTTAAAACTGCACTAAGACTTTTGGGACAGCCTGTATATATTGTTTGTACGTAGTTGTTGTGTTGTCTCACCCGTTAGACTGGGAGCTCCATGAGAGCAGGAATTATTTTGGCCTTTCTTTGTGTCAGTGCCTGGCACTTAGTAGGGGCTTAATAAATGCTCGTAGACTTGACGGCGAAGGCTATCTAGCCCAATCCTCTCCTTTTCAGAATCCCAGGAGGTTGTGACTTGCCCAAGGCTGCACACTGGTCATGAGTGTCACTGGTGGGATCCGAACCGGTGTCTTCTAACTCCTATCTGTGCTCTTTCCACTACATCCGCAGTATTTCAAAGAGTTTTTTGCTAAACGGAGAGCCCTTGCAGCTGTGTGAGCCCCCCAGCTGAGTACTTTGCACGTTATTTTTTTCTTTGGTCAAGATCTGTGATTTCATTGGTCTAGAGACACCAAGCAGGGAAACTGCCTTTTATGCCTGCTTATCTGCCACTGTTCTTTAGTTTCTGGTCTTAGATAGTTGCCTAGGGGCTGTGGAGAAGGGGGGGGTGTTAAATGGTTTGCCCAGGGTCACCCAAGCAATTTGGGTCCCTGGCAGCTCTTGGACCCAGTTCTTCCCGACTCTCTCTGCCTCTTCTTGCTTTGCTCATAGTAAGCAATTTTTACATATTTGTTGAACAGAATTGTTGACTGACTGTTAACTGATGGCCCAGCCCATCGCTTCTGTTCAGTACTTTTCCATCCCTGCAAATACCTGTCCCTAAGTGGCTGCTGCAGAATTCTCCCTGTTAGCTCTATGCCGCAAAGCTGACCCATTTCTGCCTCGAGCCTGTCGACTCCTCGTGCCTCCCTCAAAAAAAAAAAAATGTTTTAAATTGCACGTAACATCTGCAGTCCACCAGCAGAACTGCAGTGGGGACCCGCTGGGCTTCAAGGAGAAGGTAAAGTCTTTGGAATCCTGCTGGAGAGCCTCGCAGACCCACATGGGCAAAAATGATTGCCCCTCGGAGAAGCTAGGGCAGGGATGAACACTAGCCCGAAACAAAAGTAACTAGTACTGGGGGGATCATTCCACAACACCTGAAGTCCGAGAAAGGGAGGGGAGAGCTCTCAGTGAATGAATGAATGAATGAATGAATGAATGAATGAATGAATGAATGCATCGTGCATGCATGTAAGCATTATTTAAAGGGCTTACTATGTGCCAAGACATGAGCCCTACTGTGTTTCCATCCCTGCTCCAGACCCTGAGGATCTCTGTTAGGGATTAATCAGGATCACTATTGTTCAGTGACATCACAGAAAGGGAGCAGGTTTTTAGCCAAGTTTTTGAGAGACCTTGGATTATTGAGTTGCAGTTTCCAGTTCCATCTGGAGGGACAGCTGTCTGTCATATAATTCAACCCAGTAAACACTGATTCACAGAATTATAGAAGTACTAAAATGTTCTAAAATGTTAGAGTTGGAAGGGACCCACCATGATATACAAAATACTAGGGGAGGGCACCCAGCACTCCCACTCACATTGATCCCTTTTCAAAATTGTCCTAGAGATAAACACTCATCAAATTAAATTTCATAAAATTATAAAATGTCACAGTTGGAAAGGAGATTAAGAGCTGGGGATCTTAATAATAACTTGTATTTCTGTATCACGTTATGGTTTGCAAAGCACTTCATGATAGCCCTATAAAGTAGGGAGGACAAGGATTATCCCCATTTTAGAAATGAGGAAACTGAAGCTTAGAAAGATTAAGTTGATTTGCCCATGGTCACTTAATCTCTCTGAGCTTCAACTTACACATTTAGTAGCTACGTCATGGGGAGCTAGGTGGTGAGGTTAAGTCAGAAGACGTAAGATCAAATCTAAACACTTATTAGCTGTGTGACCCTGGGCAAGTCACTTCACCATGTTTGCCTCAGTTTCTTTATCTGTAAAATGAACTGGAGAAGGAAATGGCAAACCACTCCAGTATCTTTACCAAGAAAACCCCAGTTGGGGTTACAAATAGACTGAAATTACTGAACAACAACAAAAAATTACTAAATGTCAAAGACAGGATTAAGACCCAGGCCCTCCTGACTCCAAGATCAGCATTGTTTCTGTTAGATCACTCTGCTCTCTCTTAGAGCAGAAAGGAATAATAAAATATAGCCAGGGTGGGACACCTTCGGCCTTGAAGCCACACATGGCCCTCCAGGTCCTCAAGTGTGGCCCTTTGACTGAATCCAAATTGGACCCAAGGGCCACATTTGAGGACCTAGAGGGCAACATATGGCCTTAGGGTCGCAGGTTCTCCACCCTTGATATAGACTATTCAAGATGGAAGAAATATCAGAACAGAGAATGTCAGAGCTGGAATGGACTTCAAGAACACAGATTGTTAGAACAGAATGTCAGCTGACTGAATGTCAGAGCAGGAGAAGACATTGGAACATGAATTTCATGAACTGGGAGAAATGTATCAACCTCCCTCTTTTTACAGATGAGGAAAATGAGTCCCAGAGAAATGAAGTGTCTTATCAAAGGTCACTAGTGAGTTAATGACAGTCAGCATTTGAACCCAAATCTCCTAGTATGGGGCTCTTTTTTTTTTAACTATACCATACATATTCCATTTCTTCTCCCCTCACTAACCACTCCACCATTGTAAGTGCCAAGAAACACCATCCAGAGACCCGAAATTACTCATTAGCATTACAATTGTATTTATTTATAACCATGGCAATATTCTGTGGCACACAGTCCGGTTTCCCCATATCACAACCCTTTTGGGATACCACTGGTCCCCAACACTAACCCCTTCCCCCAACAACTTCCTCACCTTCTCTGATAGGCAACAGGATATAGGGGAAAAAACACTGGATTGAGTCAGAAGACTGTCTCTGTCACTAATTTGCTGTGTAGCCAAGGCAAAATTACTCCACCCCTCTGGTGGTATAAAATGAAGGGGTGGAGCTAGATGATCTTTTAAGATTCCTTTCAACTCTTAACATTCTATGTCCTAAAGTCCTATCCAACTCTAACAGCCAATGTTCTAGCTCTTTGCCTGAAAGTGACATTCTGTCCTCCATCTGCACACCTTGGACAGTGGCCCTGCTGTCTACCTGAACACACTCCCTTCTCATCTCTGCCTCCTAGAATCCTTATCTTGCTTCAAGGTTCAACTCAGGCACCACCTTTTCTGGGAAGCCTCCCTTGATAGTCCCAACTGTTACTATTCTTTCCTTGCCTAGTATTTACTTATCTCTGTGTGTGTTACAATCCCCTGTAAGTCTACTGTAAGTTACTTAAAGGAGCCATTTCAATATTTGTCTATGTGTCCCTAGCACTGAGCCCAGTGAATTTTTCAATTTTGACCTATTATTTCATCAGTGTAGGGAGCTTCTGGTAAGATACTTCCTCTACTAATACCAGTCATTACCACTGGCATGTATAACTTAGATTAGAGTTGCCTCTGAGTAGTTAAGTGATTTACCCAAGGTCACATATGTCAGGGGCAAGACTTGAACCCTGGTCTTTGTGATTCTCCAAGGCCAGCTCTCTATTCACTATACTACAGTAATACCAACACAACACCCTAATGAGTATTTAATAAATGTACCTAATTGGTACTTGGAACACTTAGGTGATACAGTGGACAGAGTGCCAGCCTGTAGTCAAAAAGACTCCTTCCTGGGTTCAAATCCAGCCTCAGACACTTACTAGCCATGATGACTCAGGGCAAGTCACTTAACCCTCTTTGCTTCAATTCCTTGTCTATAAAATAAACTAAAGAGGAAATGGCAAACTACTCCAGTATTCTTGCCAAGAAAATCCTAAGTAGGGTCACAAAGAGTCACACACAACTGAGAAATGACTCAACAACGACAATAAAATGGGCGCTTAATAAAGGTTTGTTGTATTATACTCAATTGCATTATATTTTCTTGTATGGTCAAAGTTCTCTTCTCCTCTACCATAATATGAATGATATTCTGGGTTCTAAAGGCCCTCCCAGCTCTGACAGTCTGTGTTCTAAGGGCCCTCCCCACTCTGCCATTCCATGATACTCTGATTTTCTGATATTCTGTATTCTAAGGTTCCTTCCAGATTGACATTCTATGATCCAGCATTCTAAGCTCTGCCATTGTGATCTGCCATTCTATTTCTTCTCTGCACTCACATGCTTCAAGGAG